ATCCGTCACAACAAATCTTCCAGCATTTTGTTCTGTGGCAGGTTTTGCTCTCCCTAAAGAGGAAGTGTCTTTGCACGATAGGCACCATTACACAGTAAAGATTTCTTGAGAATAGGGTGACTCCTTTTGCACTAATTGTCTCTTTGAGCTGTGCCTGAACCCTCTTCTGTGGTCTTGATCTCAGGCTTGGCAAGAATAACAGAGCTGCTTAGACCTGCACAGCAAGTGCCGTGTAAAACACCTCTCTCCCTGTGCACGTGGGTGCAGAGGTCTCCAAGTTGTTGCATCCCACTTGCTCAGTGAAGGCTTCTTCTGTCCTTGACTTCACTTTTAGTGTCCTTGGGGCCGAGTTGGGCACTGACAGTCCGTGGGAGATCAGAAGTTCCTTTTGGTTCTGAGAAGGCTGGAGCCCATTTTTAGCTGCCCTCCCCTTTCTTCCTCCAGTCTCATCCATTTAGTGCCTTGATCCATTCCCTAGAGCTGAAAGGTGTTTCTGGCCTCCTGTTCCAGGTGTTGCTGAGCCCCTGCCTAGATGGGCTTTTGGCTAATAACTGGACAAGGACTTAGGCAGGAATGGGAATGAAAGTATGTTTTTGTACCAGATGCCCTAATGGGGTGTTAGTGAGGTGAGAATCTTAGTTTCATCACCACAGGACAGCTGGGTTTATTACCTGTCTCCTGGTTCTAGTCCTTTAACAAAGAATGTAACAAAAGAGCGTATGGTGCCTATGCAATATTTGAATGACAAAGCTTTAACGTTTTTGCTATTGTTATATGTGTTTATCCTATTCCTGGTTTCTTAAACATCATAGTTGAATTGTATAATGCTGTATAAGGACACAGCTGAACCACCTTTCTTAACAGAGCGATGTGTTTGTGTTTTGCGGTTCCTGTTCCTGAAATAATAAAAAACCCACGAGCACTGTGGGACTCTGTTCTTTGTTTTCAACCCTAAATTATGCATACATTTTTCAATCTGACATATGAAGAGAACAGTTCTTGCCGGAGCACACCTGGGTTCGGTGTCTGTCCCGCCCCGTCCCAGCCGGGCGGTGTCTCCGCGGTTGTCGCCGCTCCCGCCGGCCGGGCAGGGACGCGGGCAAAGGACCTCGGCTGCGCCGGGGCTCCGCGGGGCGGGAGGGGAGCGGGGCAGTCTCCGCCCTTACCCCCGCCCCGGGGCATCCTCGGCGAACGGGGCGGTAACGGGAAGAAATGTGGACGTTTTTCGTCTTCCGCAAAATCGGGGCGGTTCCAGGGCGGCGTGCGGTGCAGGCTGTAAACTGGATGGTTTGGGTGAAAGGCTTGCTCGGGTGGTGTAAGTAAATCAAAGTGCCCTTTAGGGTATTAGTTCGGATTTGGGGGCGGGATGGTGTGGGCGGTTTTCCTTTGGAAAAAGAAGATGGGAAAGCTGCCGGGCGGTTATCCCTCTGTCGGCGGGAGATGACAGTGGTATTTTGCAATTGCTGTCAGAAGACTGTCCTGGAAATCCCCACGTTCTGATGTAAACTCCTCCACGTAGTTGGGTCTGAAAGGATGCAGCCAAATCGGAGGGTTCCGCTGTAAGAAGCAGGGGGAAAGGTGCGGGAGTGAGATGTGTGGGGTGTGCTGGGTCTGTGAGGCTGAAGAACTTAAAGCTGCAGACCTGCCAGTACACATGCTTCCAATTTCAAGTTAGAAGGCAAGGAATTCTTTTAAATAATGCCATTAATTGAGTCTGGCAAGTGGGATTGGGATAGATAGTTTATGTGGGGGAAAAAATTACAGTATTTCAATGTGACTGGGGTTTTGTTTTGTTTTTGTAAGAGAACGTTCCAGTGACAATGTTTTTGTTTTTTTGTAGGAGAGCTCATTCTGGTGACTTCTCCCAGCCCAGCTGTTTTAAACACAGCGTGCACACGTCGGAGTAAGCTGCAGGTACTGCTGAAGATCTATAGACTTAGAGAAGGTAAGAGTTTGTAATTCAGCCCTTCCCATGTCTAACTTTGTGGTCTGTTTTTTGTGTAAAAGCAGATTCTTTTCTTAGTGAAGTGAGGACAGCTTTCTATCGGTAAGTTCGGAACAAAATCCTG